GCTGGCTCGGTGGTTGTCAAGGTACAGGAGGACTTGAAACATGCCAGGGCGGAGGCCAAAGTCCTCAAAGATGAAGTGCAGGCGGAGCGCCGAGCTAAAGAGCAGGCAAAACAGGAGGCATTCGAGCGCGCTTACGCCATCGCCGGGCTTACAGAGGAGGTGGAGGTTCTCAAAGAGCAGCTACGCGCTGCGGAGGCCAATATCAAGTCGCGAAGCCTGAAAGCCCATAGGTTCAAGCTTAGCCAAGAGGGCGCCGGACGAATGTCTCTAGCGGAAGGCGATCTCGCCCTACTGCTAACCCCTACGCCTCGGAGACCCAAACGATCGGCCGAAGATTCCGTCAACTCACCCATGGTCCATGCCACAAAACCGTCGCCTGCACACCAAACTCCTCCCAAGCGACAGAGACTATCAGACATCACTCCCCGACAAGAAGCCCAGGAATATGCCGTGTCAGAAGCGAAGCATGATAAGGTGGAAGAACTCGAACGAATTCTGAAGCGCGAGCGCCAGCTAAGAACAGATGCAGAAGATTTGATTGAGTTCCTCAAACTCGAGTGTCAATTCAAGCGCTGTTCTTGCCGGTTGACCGAGTCAGAGGAAATCGACCATGTGCATGAAGCGGGAACAGTCGAGGCAGTCGAACAGAAGGTGCACGAACACGGAATTGAGCAGCATGGAGATCACATCGGCATCCCGAAAAATGACGAGGTGGACTCACACACGCCCGTCGGCGAGCCTGCTGGTTTCGCTGCACAAGAGAATGTGGGAGAGACAGTTGACGAAGATGACGATTTAGAGGCTCAGGAATTCGAGGAAGAGACTGTGGAGGATGCTGAAGATGACGACGATGACCCTACGGAGGAGCCTATTATCACTTTTTCGCCTGCCACGGGCACTTTCCACACGATCCCTTCGCCTGTCCGAGGATCTCCACGCAAGCAGCTCCCCGAAAATGCGCTAAATTCACCATTAGCAGAAGTGGAGAGCGAAGCTGAAGATCCAGCGATGACTGGTAGTCCTGTCTGCAAGCATGCTACCCACAGGCATGAGACGCCATATGATTCCATCATGGAAAGTGAGGCCTTTGTCCCAACCTCTACTCCTGGAACTCACCGGTCCTCAGTAGTCGTTGATGTTCCGTGGGACCCTGTGTTGCCCGTGATGCACGATGCCAGAAACTCTCAAGTGCACGAAGACCTCAGGAAAATTCCTCTACGAGACGATGACCAGTTATCGTCCAATCGCTTTGCTGATGTCCCAGGAACTCCCATAAGCCGGGAAGAAGCCCTGGCACAAATCCGAGCGCGTAGAGGCAGGACCAACACGATGAAGCGCTCCATCAGTGCTGGTGAAAGTGCCCTGCGCTCCGGCGGGATGGGCGTTACTCCCGTCCGAGCCGCACGGCGAATCCCTGGTCTTCATCACACAGAAGCCAGAAGCGATGGCTCCATTCGGGATCGGCGCGACATAAGTGCTCCCATCCGCATGTCCTACCACTAACTACTATATTATCTCATTCATGCGAGCTCAGACGCATTTCATCCTTTCTACCTCTTCCCCTACACATTTTCCTCAGACTCTAGCTTAATGACTCAACCCTCTCTCTTGATACCCCGGTACTCCGAGTGGCATGGCGTTTTTTTGGGGAGATTGAGCTTTCTATGTCCTTTTTGTGGTTTTGTTCGTTCTTGGCAATCATGGCACGTCTCAAAAGATCTTGATGAATATTCCCGGTGAAATTTGTTTCGTCTAGTCTCATGAAATCAACTTTTTTGCCTTTCCGCCAAAGTCAGCACACGAACTCAGGTGTCTATGCTCTCACACTCTCTTCTCTCAGCTTCGTCTGTAACATTTCCTTTGTCTGGTATGCGGTCTACGTGTGAACATTTCTACTCTTGAATATATCTCCTGTTACTCCTCTTTCTGTTGTCCCATGTGGGTACTATATATACTTGGAACATGCAGGTTAGACAGATACAAATGGTGTGGTCGATGCTTCTGGGATTGAGTCGCAAGGGGAAAGAACTTTTGTGAGTTAAAATCGCGCGTACACCCTGACGAGAGAGAAACTATGACTCTATCACAGTTGTTTACTACGAATAAATACTATGTCTTCTTTTGCGTTCATCAGAGCTATCCGACGGAAGAAAGAAACAGACAGGAAGCAGGAAAAAGATGGCTAGGAGTATCACGGCAGTAAATACAGTACAAGCAAACCTATACGATGGAGATACCACAACATCTGATCCGGGCGCTCTCGACGTACGCCTTCCGACCCCACCAGAGCATGACGAGCTCCTCGACGAAGACCCGGTCGGCGGCGCTCCACACGTCCAGGCCCATTTCGGTCAGGTCTTCGGACGTAATCTTGACGGGCTTGGTGTCATCCTGGGTGCTACCGCTGGCACTCACCGAGGATTGCCGCGCAAGGAGTGGTCTGTGGAAGTCGTCTTCTTGGGTGGATTGGCGGCCAATGGCAAGAGAGGGGTCGGTGTCGTTTTCCGGCTCGTCGTCTTCGTACGGTTGTTCATCGTTGTCGGGAAGGAGGTCGTCATTGTCCTCGTCGTCCGGGAAATTGCGACTGTCGTGGCGGGCAATCACGTCGGACAAGGTGACGAAGATTTGTGTGGTGAGGCGACGGAAGTATGCGACCAGAGCGATCTCCGCGGGCTGCTGCGCGGACTCGTGGGGCTGGATGCTTCGACGGCCGACGGAGCCTAAGGGAGGGCTGGGAAGAATCTCGACGCTGGCGAGGAGGCGCGTGTCTTGCTCTATCTGATGCTCTTCTTCCTCTTCTTCGGATAGACCATCGCGCTTTTCGCCCGCGGACGCCCACCAGATGAAGGAGGTATATGCCAGACGAGCCCAAGAGAGGGGCTCAACTATGGGACTGGAAGAGTAGGTGGATGCAGCATCGGAATCGTCGTCAGTGTCTGTTTGGGTATCCTCGTTCTGGGAAACGTGGCGGAGCCCCTTGCGGAGAGTATAATAACGTCGCGCATCCCGCTGAGTCGCCTTTATAACGACTGAATGAGTTGTTTTACCTTTGGCGGGCTGGGTGTGGAAGATAGATACGGTGGGGAACACCTTCTCCGCCGCGTTCCTGGAATGCGGGGGCGGTAAGGTGACTAGAACATCGAAGAGTTCGGGCTTCACACTCAAGACGCTGTCCGTGCTGCAAGCAATCCAGGCTGAGTCACGGTCGTTATTCGGGAGATTGCCCACGAAGGAAGAAAGGTAAGGGATATCGTGTATGCCCACGTTGAATAGAGAACGCGGTCGGGGAGGAGGGAGCCCATTCTGAGGAAGCAGGGGAAGGAGAGAATTAGGCAACGAGGCTAATAAAGATAGATCATATACTGGGGACAGCTGTTAGCAGCAACGCGAGTGGAGGAACGAATGAGCATACCATAACTGCAAGGAATATGGACTGGCGGCTCTGCCATGAAGAGAACCCGCTTGCGCAGCAGGGCTGCTCTGTAGAGGGGGAATATAAGGGGACCAAATGAATCTAGAAAATTAGGAAGGGAAGAAGCTGGGTGGAAGGGCGTCAGGGCCGGCCTGGGCGTTTCCAACATGATGGCATCACTAAATGCGCGACCCCGATGTATGCTGTCAGTTCGGTCTCCGTGGGCCCTCAGGCGGAAGCTGAGCGGAGATTCTAAAGGAGAATCGGGAGGCATGGCAGACAAGTCACTTTCTCGCGTCCGAAAATCTTCCCAGTACTCTGCAAGTGGCTGGGTATTGGACATGTCTTGGGCATAGTTCCTACAGCGATCGCAAACGTCAGAGGTACATGGTACAGTACAATGCGACACCCGCAAGTGGGTCAAGATCACTCACTGTGCCAATTCCTTGAGCTTCGGCGCATGTCTCCAGCTCTTGCCCAGCCTTCCTGAGCTCAAGGGCACAAGCACTCCAATGGCGAACATCTTCGCGTTGCGCTCTGCCTCCTCCGCAGGCCAATTGACGAAAGCACTGATGCCAGCATATTGCTCATGGATGAAGTACCTGGAAGGAGCGAGCGTCCGTAAGCAAGCGGTCGACACACATCATCGATATGATCGCTAACTTACACCAAGTCCTCTGACACATTGTGTAAGCCGGAGGGAAGTGATTTATATTCCACGGCACCTTCAATATCAACTGGTCGATCGGGTAAGCTCGAGCGCTCCTCGGAAATGCTGTCGCTATTCGCTATCACTCACCCCCAGGGGTTGTTCGTTTCCAGGATATCACGTAGCTCCATCAGAAATCAACTGTCAGTAGAAGCTCACTGCAAGGTGAGTATGCATCACAGAAGCCGGCGGGCACTCACCCAGCCTTGATGTCGAAACGAATGACGAAGAGTGCCGCAATGCCAGGCGGCGACTCGACCGCAACGGTGCGGGGCACATCGAGACCCAAGGGCTTTCTTCTAAATGGACCAGGAGCCATTGCAAAATTGTATGTGGCAAGGGGAAGAAGAAGAAGGAAAGAAGAGAGTGACAGTCTCCATGGGATGGTTAACCAGGAGGGCAACCGAGGTAGATGGCCGGTTGAGGAGCAAAAGGAACAAGAGCAGGTAGCCAGCTTGTCGCAGTTGGTAGGAGACCTACCTGGAGTACTGTACGGAGCTGCAGTGGAAGTTGTGGCCTGAGGTTCAGAGCTCTAGCCAGAGTGGGCTAGCGGGTAATCCCGTGGCTGTCTAACCATACTAGGAGATATTATGGTCGATCTCGCAATCGAGGCTTAAGAGTGATCAAATATAAAAGAATAATACTCAGCAGAAGGTGCAGAAATAGGGCAGATGTCAAATTGCCAGATAGAAATCGATGCTACGGAGGGGAAGAAGAAGAAAGAAAATCACTCATATATGAGTACTAAGTTGGCGGTGTATCGGTGCATAGTGGGAAAGGAAATTGTAGGAGACCCCAGTATTAAATCTGAGATATATTTTCCGCCCGAAATGCAACATCTCAATTCAATTGAATTTGTTTAGCACTTTAGTGCTTACAATTCTAGAGAACCTCCCTAAGGGTTTTCGCACCTACTGCACACATTTGCAAATTTGATCAAGATGGAACTTCGGACTCCCTCTCATCCGTTCTATCCCATCGACGCGCTCATTGAGGACTACGCGCCCAATGAGGCTCCGTTGCTCACTATCATGGCCACTGCCAGCCTAGGTGTGACAGCCTTGCTGGGTGCTACCTGGACGCTGACCGGCTTCAAACGACCGAAAATACAAACCCGAGACCGAATTGCCATTCTGTGGTTTGCGCTCTGTAAGACTCGCCTCAGATTTTATAGCAGCCGCCGCAAGGTAGAATCACCATCAAAGCTTCCGGTGCGCTAACATGTAAACGAAACCTCCAGCGGGATGTATCCATTGCTTCTTCGAAGGTTACTTCATGGTCCATCATGACCACATGGCATCCGCTCAAGACTTCTTTGGGCAGCTCTGGAAAGAATATGCCTTATCGGACTCGCGGTACATGACTTCCGACACACTTGTTCTTTGTATGGAGACCATCACCGTGGTAGGTTCCTCTTCCTCAATCCTTGATCAGGATAGATCAGGATAACCTGCTCGTGCGCCGAATGGTGGCTGGGTGTGTATTCATTGACCGGGATAATAGATGGTCTGGGGCCCGTTGTGCTTTGTAGTCGCATATCTGACCGCGACTCAACACTCTTTGCGCCATCCCTTTCAGATCATTGTCTGCATGAGCCACCTCTATGGCGACAGTCTCTACTATGCCACGAGCCTCTTCGATCATTACGTGCATGGGATTGCCTATTGTCGCCCGGAAGCCTTCTATTTCTGGGTCTATTACTTTTTCATGAACTTCATTTGGATCGTGGTTCCATTCTGTAAGTTGCCCTTGTGGATGGGTCTTTTGGCCTGATAGATAGGCACTGACAAGGGGATAGATTACCTCTATCAGAGCATACGAGCGATATCAGCAGCCTTCGACGCCTTGAAAGAACGTTCGCAGCGACACAAAGAGCGGTGATTCTAGGGGGACTGATGATGTCATCACGATTCGGGCAGTTTTGCGACGAGGGGAAGATAAACACCGCGAGCCTCGCTAGCCCCGATTGCTGCCCGGGTGGTTCTAGGCTGGGCAGAACGAAGCACATCAGGAATTAATTTAGCGAGGCCCTTTCCCGCGTGGGATCAACATTCCGGCCGGGAATCAGACATGCCATCATTGCTCGGATTGAGGGGATCTCTCGGATCTCTCTCGATCTCGCCCACGTCGTTGTGACGGTTGACAGCACAGTCAGGACCGGGAAAACAAATTAGCACAAATTGCATGACAACGCAGAGAATAATAGCAATCAATAGTCAGAATGCAGTGATTTTATCCCCCTTGGCCCACTCTGACGCGTAGACCCCATAGTGGAGCGTCCCAGGCATCCTGATTCTTGCTTGTTCGCGGTCAAGAAAGATATAGCCTATTGCCTAGTTGGGGGTGTGGGGAGGAGCTTGGCCCTCCATCCTGGCTATCACTTTTGTAAGTAGACTGCCTCATGTGTTCGGTCGGGAGCACTCTTCATAAGGGAGAAAGCTCGTAGGATATACTTCGTGGCGTCCGTGCATGACGCTGAGACCGGGAGGGGAGGGAGGGAGGGAGGGAAGAAGGTAAGACTGGGGCCAGGCGTGGGACAAAACCACTGTAGATATCATCAGCCAGCAGCAAGCCATGACCGCAACCTTGCAGTAGGAGAGTAAGCCAGACCCAGACCCTCACTCATCATTCCGTCCGTGGTATTAAAGGGTGATCAGTCCCGTCCTCGTGCGTGTGTACCTGATGGATGGCGAATGAACCACCGGTCGCAAAAAGCATAGTAGGGTACCTACTACTAGGTACCTAGTAGCTTTCAGCACAACACACGTTTATCCAGCCTGACGAGAACTTTGTTGGTCATATTCATGCATTGCCTTGTTGTTGGTTGGCTCCAGCGACTGATTGGCTTGGATTGGGCGCCAGTGTGATCTGATGAAAGGGACTAACTATAGGTACTAGGTAAGTTAAGTCATCTGAATGATCTGGATCATCTGAGTAGGTTGGTTGGCTATTCGTTTTGCGCTTCGGTTTCCCGGGCAGCCTGCGGTTTTCCAGCGGTTGCCAAAAAGATAGTCCCGGAGTATACGGAGTACACAGACTAACTACACAGACCGGACAGACAGGGCAACCAACCTACTGACAATACACTCACTCCACCAGTGGCTAATTCTTTCCCCTCCGCTTTCCCTACCCCCCCCTCTCATTCTCCTCCTCTCACTTTGTCCGGTCGCCCTTCACTGAATGGGTGTCATCTTTCATTGAGCAGTCATAGCGGGCAATTGCCTTGTGACCATCCTGACTTATCTCCAAAAACTCAAGTTAGCCATTTATTGCATTTATTGCTGGTATCGTCGTGGTTATTGTCCGGCCGGTGGAGGACCGCAACAGAGACCCGATCTGCTTTTGACCGCCTGTTTTCGCGCTCGCCTGCTTTTTCGTCTTCCCTGGTGGAATGTTCGCTTCTATTGCTTTCGATTCGAATTTCCTTCGACGATCCCTCCCATAATTTCTCGAACCATTTATTCCCTGCAAGTCCCTGTTGTTGTCCGCCAGGGTATGCATGAGCTAGCTGTTGTGCTGATCTTCACTTTGTGAGCTTTCCCCTTCCCCTCATAAACAAAACACTAGTGACGTCGGCGGGTTGCCGTGGCCCACGTTTTCACACCTTCTACTCAATGATACCAACCACCGTACACAACTCCAACGGGGAGGCTGCCACATGCATGATATGCTGACATTTGACCGCGCTTGTAGACTTCCATGCCATCGCCTGTCAACCCGCAGCGCCCCTCCAATCGCGGGGGAGCCGCCAAATTGTCCCCCACGAAGACAAAGTCCCTCGATATCGGCCGGCCCCTGGGAATTTACGACACAAACTCTGTGCGAGAAAAGGTGCGCAAATGGCAGCAGCAAGGAGGCGGGGTTATAACTGCCAACGACGGTGTCTACTACGACGATGAGGAGGAGAATAACTCCGCCGCCGAATCCAAATCCAAACCGGCTCTTGATGCTCCCCTCGGCAACTCCAATGGTTCAGTAGTATCTAGGATGCGAAGTCAAAGCACTCCGCGAAAGCGAGTCATCAGTGACGAGCACTGGAAGCTAAATCGGAAGCCCACGCAGGCCAAGACCTCGAAACTCCCAGCCCCCAAGCGCATCTCCCAGTACACAACAAATGATGCACTAAGGCCACCGCATAAAGCCGAGGGCGAGGAGGATGGGGTGTCGTCTCCTCCGCGAAGTCGCGAACGCGACCGCTCCACGGATCTTGCGACGAGGGAGCGGAGAAAGTCCCGCGCATCGCGGGATGTGGACACAATACCAGAAAATCGGGCGGAGGAAGAAATTGCCTCGTACAATGGATCCTCGAAATCGACATCGCGACCATCAACGGCGAAAGGCCATACTCGTGCGAAGTCAGAGCAGCCTCAAACTTCGAAGTACAAGGATGCGCCGTTAGATGACGACTCAGAATGGGCGACGAGCGAGGCGGACTTCTCTGAATTGTCAAGACGCCGCGCACGAGGTCCTAATCCAACGTCGAAGGGTCCTCCCCCCAAAGGCCCTGGGCTCGATGCCCTCAAAGGCCGTACAGCTGTAAAACCACCCAAAGGGGGAATACTCGGGCATATGATCGATGCATCGAAAGAGATATTCTCCAAACCTGAGCCACCCAAACCAGCACCAGTCCGGGGCGCGAAAATCCAAGCCTGGCTGTCCAATACCCCAGACCCCTTTAAGGAAGGAATGGACTCGGACGTGGAGATTCCAGCGCCTTTAAAGATGAGATCTGGTAACAACAAACCGAACGCAAAATCTGAACAAACGCACACTAGCGATGTGGAGCATTCCGTGGATAGTGACACTCCCCGCAAAGATGCGGCTTCACGGCGAAGCAAGAGAGACGGGGGTTCCCCGGCAAGCGACCGGGCCAAGCCGAAGCAGGAAACTGTCGTGAGCTCGGGATCACGAAGAGATGGTAGTTCCTCTTCGAAGAAGAAACAAGGTGAAAGCACAGGCAGTCGACAGTCATCCAGAGACAAAGAGCTTCCTATCAGAGAACGCCCTCGTGATATGAGGGATGATGTGTCTGAGTCAGGAACTCAGCCGCTCTCTGAGGGCTCGGAAGTGTCTGGTAATAATGCGCCTGTACCTCTTGGGCGCACAAAACCATTCCCTGCCACCGGAGCACATCCTCTGTCTACCATCGCATCTGTGGAGTCAATGAGCAGAGGTGGCAAACCAACAGCGTCATCGGCTGCCGAAGCACATGATTCATCAGCCAAAGCAAAGGAAGACGACGAGGAACGGGACTCATTCGATCCAAACTCACTCCCTGTAGTTTCGTCCCAGCTCAAAAGACGACTCACTACCCATGATGATCTTATCTCAGTTTTATCCGCCCCTAATAGCAGGAGCCGGAGCCTCCGGTCTGCGAGGAGCTTGAAGACGAAGAATCGCGTGGTATCAGAGACTATTCCAGACATACTCAAGGAGTTGTCTGCCGACGAAGCGAAGTACATGCGTGAGCTGAAGACTTTAGTCGGCGGTGTGATTCCTGTCCTCCTGACCTGCGTGCTTTCACGGTCTGATTCTGCTATTGCAGCTGGTCTCTTCCGCCCTTCAACGGACCCTAAAGACGAGGTCAATTTCAGCAAGCCCATTGTGGATATGGGAGTCGCCATCGAGCGTTTGAAGACATTGCACAAGCGGATTCCCGAAGAAAACGTCGACGCACTACTCAACTGGGCACAAGGGGCGCAAAGGGTCTATCGCGAGTATCTCAAGGCCTGGAGACTAGGATTCAAGGACGTTATAGTGAACCTTGCGCCCCTTGAGGAAGGAGAAGGTGGCGAAAACGCTGACACTAGGAGCCTGGACGAAGGCATGGCAAGAGACGAAAACGGAGATGTTGTGGACAGTGACGGCGAAAAAGTCGATGTTGCCTATCTTTTGAAACGACCACTTGTTCGCCTGAAATACCTTGCAAAGACATTCAAGGGGATTAAGGCGCTGCAACCATCCCCCAAAGCAGAGGAAATTGCATCGGGTTATCAGACCCTGGTGACAGAAGCTCGTCGTCGTGCGAGGGAGGAAAGAGCAAGGCTTGAAGACGAATCGGCTGCCAGCATTGATGCAACTCGCGCGCGCGATCCTGCAACATTGGGTACTTTGACTGAGGTCACTGTGGACAGGTCTCGACGGGTTCGTGCCCGTGATTTCTTCAACCTATCCCTTTACCATTCCAGTGGACAAGTGATCGACTGCCGTGCAGAACTTCTCCTGAGAGATGCAACCGCACAAAACAGAGGAGAAGGTGATCTCCTAATTTGCGAGATTGATCATACGGATCGCTGGCTACTGTTCCCGCCCATAGCGCTGGGCTGCGTCTCTGCTCGGAACGGTGATACAAAGGGTGAGATTGTCGTCATGTTGCGAAGTGCTCCAGGGCAAGAGAAACCATGGCAGGAGCTCCTCATTCTCCAGATTGATGAGGAGGAAATCGGAAATGAATGGGTGCAGATGCTGGGTCTAGTCCCTGTTCCACCAGCCATCTGTCGTTCCCAGAGCTTTATTGACCGAGCCAAGCAGCGGAAACGAGCACAAACTATCTCATCCTCCACTGAAGCTTCCCAGGCACAGAGAGCTCCTCCAAGTCCTACGAATATCAATATACCGATCGGAGAAAAGGCCGACATCCGGGCCAAGCGTCGATCTCTGACCCCAAGAGATCAGTTCTCTGACCCGAGTACCGTTGTGTCTTCTTGGGCGAACGACTCGTATGCATCCTTGCATACCGCAATCACGCGTGACTCAGATTATGCTATGGGAGATTCGCCTCGGCCTCAACCTATCCTTCATGCTAGAGAGCCGCGGAAGAGTTTCACCAGCGATGACAGACCCCACGGACTGAAACGCTCTAAGGCTAAGAGAATCTCGCGTTACGGTGAAAGTAGTCCACCTACTCCCATAGAACCAGCTCAGGACAAAGGTAAGGCCCGAGAAGTCGAAGAAGCACAACGCTTTGAAGAGAAGAAGCCCAAAGAACAAGATCGCCCCCAAAGGCCGCCCATGCCGGATAGAAGGCTGTCCTCCGTGCCATCAATGGACCTGCCTGTAATCCCCAAGCTCAGAAGAGGCAGTAGTCAGACATACATCTCCGAATCCTTAGCATCTACGTCAGATGACGAATACTCCGCGATTGAGTCTCTCTATCTTGCTGAGTCCCCGACAAGAAACAAGAGTGACTCTCGAGCGAATTCAGA